TTAATGTCATTTCAGCAGTGGGATTGGAAATTAAGAGAAACGAAGAGCCAATATATCATTATCACTGAGTATATACACTACCAACAGGTATTCATTCTATATAGCACACATACACTTTGTTGTTTTCTAAACCTAGTTCCTATCACCAAACTGAGAATTTTTCCTTATCTGTTGAATTAAAGAGTACAATTGAAGGGTATGTTTTCCAAGGCCCAGCAGTGGTAGATTACCATCTAGCGTAACAGGTAAACACATCTAGAAAAACACACTGGGGTTTGCCATCCTGGTGCTTAGCTCCCCATGCATGGGAAGGATTCACCAGGTGCATTTAAACAAAAGGAGCGATAGCAGCTTAATGTACCTGGATAAGCCAGCCAGCCGCAGATGCAAACCTGAATTCCCTTCACAATGTATGGAATTATAAAGGCCTCATCCACACAGTGACACATCCATTCCCCAGTTCTCTACCACCCAGTGACACATCTATTCCCCAGTTCTCTACCACCCAGTGACACATCTATTCCCCAGTTCTCTACCACCCAGTGACACATCTATTCCCCAGTTCTCTACACCCCAGTGACACATCTATTCCCCAGTTCTCTACCACCCAGTGACACATCTATTCCCCAGTTCTCTACCACCCAGTGACACATCTATTCCCCAGTTCTCTACCACCCAGTGACACATCTATTCCCCAGTTCTCTACCACACAGTGACACATCTCTTCTCCAGGTCTCACCTTGTCTTTTCTTTCCTGGCAAACATTGGCATGTTGATGGTTCATTTTGGATTATCTCCAAGCCTGTGCTGTACTGTACATCCCCCCTCCCCCTCTCAAGCCCCAATCTTTGTGGGGAATCTTTCTGCAAATAGCAATTTCTCTCTATCTCTCTATCTCTCTCTCTCTCTCTCTCTCTCTCTCTCTCGCTCGTTGATTGCAAAGCCCCTTCTATAGTGATTAGCTAGATGCCTTTTTTCAAGCCCTCTAAGTGATGTGATGTGATGTGTGTGTGCGTGCGCGCACGCGTGTGTGTGTGTGTGTGTGTGTGTGTGTGTGTGTGTGTGTGTGTGTGTGTGTGTGTGCGTGCGTGCGTGCGTGCGTGCGTGCGTGCGTGTGTGTGCGTGCGTGCGTGGCAGGCAATAGCTCCCCAAGCATAAAAGGTACCCACAGAGGCTGTTAGGTATGTGTCTGATAAGACCCATGGTTGAGGGACTGACTGATGGTCAACCATGCCAGGCAGTTATGCAGATGGGGAGAACAAGAGATGGCTGGATGGAGAGATTGAGAAAAGGAGGGGTTGTTGCGAGCAAAGTCCATTTTCCATTTCATTTCATTTTAGTCATTTAGCAAACGCTCTTATCCAGAGCGACTTACAGGAGCAAGTAGGGTTAAGTGCCTTGCTCAAGGGCACATCGACAGATTTTTCACCTAGTTGGCTCTGGGATTAGAACCAGCGACCTTTCGGTTACTGGCACAACGCTCTTAACCACTAAGCTACCTGCCTCCCCGTTAGTGCTTTAAATATACTGTCCTCTTTCACACGTCTGCATCAAGCTGATCGCTAATAGCAAAGCCAAGCAATAATAGTAGGCTAAATATTGATTGTAAACATTATTACAATATCAAACATTAATTTGATAAAACATTTTAGGAAGGACATCCTTCTTTTGAATAAGATGTTAAGGCCTGAATTGTGTACACACATCTTGTTTTAAACATGTAATTACCCACTTTCACCAAACACTACAGCAGCATTCATGTTTAGCCTAGGGGAATTATTAGGTACAATCAAAACTCATTAGGGAATAAGATGCTTGAATAATTACAACACCTGTTAATCTGATCTATTATACAATAGTAGCTATACAATCAGAACATAGACATAAGGATTATGTATTGGTCAAGTTTGAAGCATAACCTTCATGTCTAGACTATTTTCCTCCTCAATTATTTTCCAAAAAGCTAAATCATTGTAAAATGTGAGAAAAAGTAGCCTGGAGGATTATTTGCCTTTTTGAAATACAGTCTCACTGAATTTTCACATAAATCAATGCATTCCACAGTTACAGTTACGTCCAGAATATATAAACTAAAGCTACACTGAATCACCTAACTTTGTGCTCATAATACTCCACCACATTCAACTTGATATGTTTTCAATGAAAATGTGTAATATATAATAATAAAGTGTATTAAATATAACGAAACCTGTAAGCTAATTTATATAATCATTATTTATCTGATAACAGTATCCTGATTACAGATTTATCTATACAGTCAATAAAGGCAATTGCCAAAAAAAGTAGGCTATAATGTCTTTGATCTAAAAAGTTTGATTAGGCTTTATGTCATTTAAGATGATATACCTTGACAATAGATCCAATGAATGAGCTTCAGTAAGACCTATTAGACCACTCTTCAACATGGGTGCATATTCATGAGGGCTATTAAGGGAAAGGGGTGTGACTGCGGTGTATTATTTCAAGTCAAACCACCTGGAGGTGGACAACTTTTAAGCGCAAGAGTTTAGGGTGGCAGATTCAGTTGGAAGGAGACAGTACACAAACATTGACTGACTTCTAAACTACACTGGACTTTCTGGAGACCTGGTTTACGTCTCCACGCGGAATGGAGGGCAGCATTAGACCGCTCGGCTTGGCCGGGCATAGCTCCTCTCCTCTCTCGGTCGGGGGCTTACATGTGCCCGCTTCCCTTCTGCGCCCTCCACCTCTCTTTCTCCGAGCTGCTGCCTGTAAACCGTCGATGGAGAGGGGCTACCCCCGAACCCCGAAGTGCGCACGGTGCAGGAACCACGGCGTGGTGTCCGCACTGAAAGGCCACAAGCGCTTCTGCCGTTGGAGAGACTGCGTGTGCGCAAAGTGCACCCTGATAGCGGAGAGGCAGCGGGTGATGGCTGCACAGGTGGCACTCAGGAGACAACAGGCGCAGGAGGAGAGCGAGGTCCGGGAGCTCCAGTTCATGTACACCGGCTCCGGGGCGGGGGAGACCGGACTGACCATGGCATCTGGGGTACAACGATCTGCAAACACTGTGCCAAGAATATCGAGTTTTGATGTTTTTGGAACTGAGGACCAAAAAGACGGTGAGTTAGTCCATCGTTACCTGTTGGTATTTTAAATTTGGTTCATTTGGTTAATATGGCCGTTCGATGCTTAAATTGACTTAGCCTAAATTAAGATAGGCCTTTTACAATGGAAAAGTCCCACCTGCAATTATTGTTCAAACTGTGAAAAATATGCTTGAATTTATAGCCTTAAACAGGTTACTGCATACGTGCAAATCGACTTAGATTAACAAATTATTCGCGGAATGATATCTGACCAAGGAGGCGTTTTACGCAGCGTTTAAATCAGAAACCTATAGAAAATGTATACAGTTTGGAAAATTAGACATAATGTCCTATCACATATATCTAATCTAATTCCGTTATTATTTATATTTTCAGATGACAAACTGACCAAGTACAACCTAAACAACGGATTCATGGGCCAACCTCTCTATGCGCCTCACCCCGCACCACTGTCCTCTCCATTGGGAAAGAACGATACCTCTCCTGGTCAAGAGAAAAACCGGGCGGTCTTCGACAAGGAGAGTGGCAGTCAGTCGGCTACTTTTGACCAGCTGTCAGACCACACAGAGAGCCCAAGGTCGCTGTCATCCTCGGACCTCGAGTCGGGCAGCGAGTCCGAGCGGCCCAAGGACTACCCTTCGCTGGAGATTACCGCGCCTGGTTGCGCGTCAAAGGACCGGGACCCCACCGAGGTCATGACCAAGATATTCCCCCATCACAAGCGGAGCACTTTGGAATCAGTGGTGAAAACTTGCAAAGGGGACATCGTGAAGGCTATTGAACTAGTTCTTAGCTCCAAAGAGAATAAATGCAACTCGGATAGCGTCGGTCTATCTCAGTCTGTTCACTCAAATGAACCAAGGCCTAATTTTGGACTTCCAGGGGTAGCATTGGGGGCTCTGGGTACCAAGTCTGCTTTCTCCCCATTGCAAACCACGCCAACATCTGCCTGCGAAAGCATGTACGGGCTGAATCCTCGCTTTGGTATTAATCCTTTGCGTCTGGCCTACTCAACCGCAGGTGGTGGCATACCTAATTTCATGTCACCGTATGTGACGTCCGGACTGATGCCAGTTTTCCCATTTCGCCCGCCGTTGGACTATTCTTTCCCGGGCATGATGCGAGACCTCTCCTATCTCCAGAGCAAAGACTCCCTATGTAACGCTGGCATATACTCTCGTTTAAATCATGAGAAATAATTTAGGTTCAACCAACAAAACGTCCATAGATAAAATGCAAAAAAAAAAAAAAACAGTTCGAGTATGTATCAAACTGCAATGTAACTTCTTTCCCAGGTTGTCTGATCGGGGACAGATTTGAAATTCGGATGAGATGATGCAAATGATGTTGTCCCATGTATCTTAAAATGATTTTACAGTGTTTTACAATTCCAATATATTTTTGAAAATGTACATTTTGTAAAGTTTGTGTCTTAAATAAAAATAAAAAACATCAAATGAAAGTTTTGTTGTATACTTTGTTGTATAATCATGAAATACATCAGCAGACCTGTTGAGGTTTAGAATTCTATGAAGTTCTTTCACGATTGTATATTCCATTAAGTTATATTTTGCAATCAAGCATTATTAAAATGTTTAAACATTTGGCCTATTCTATGCAACAAAAAAACGAATAAAAACTGAAACTAATCAAAGGTGCACACAGAACCTGATGCTCTCCATATCGAATTCCAGAACCTGATGCTCTCCATATCGAGTTCCAGAACCTGATGCTCTCCATATCGAATTCCAGAACCTGATGCTCTCCATATCGAGTTCCAGAACTTGATACTCTCCATATCGACTTCCAGAACCTGCAACTTGGAGCAAGTGCAATAGTCATTATACTACCTTTAATGGCAAATTAGAACATAACATAGCAACACAATAACATACATTCAAATAAATTATTCACCGTTTTTAAAAAATCGATTTCTTATTTGTGTGATGAAAATACCCACAGGCCTATACTCAACAACAATGACAGTAAAAACCACATTGCTGTCATTGTCTGACATTTTAATAAAAAGCATGAGCTGGCGCACACCCAGATAAAATGATTTAGTGTAGAGGTGCTGACTAACGGGGAATAAACTGTAAGCTATAAAAACAAAGAGAGTCTCACACTCCATATGTAGAACCTCCCAGTCATTTATTGGCTAAAAAACCACCAACGTTTCAGCATCACTTCATGTTGAGAATTTGTATTTATTATGGATCCACATTAGCTGCTGCCAAGGCAGCAGCTACTCTTCCTGGTGTCCAGCAAAAAATTAAGGCAGTAATATACATTATAATACAATTTTTAAACATAAAAATACATTTTACAACAGATTTCACAATACATTAAGTGTGTGCCCTTAGGCCACTACTCTACTAAAACCCATAATCAAGGTGTGTGTGTGTGTGTTTGTATGTGTGTTTGTACCTGTGTGTGTGACTCTTCACAGTCCTAGCTGTTCCATAAGGTGTATTTTTACCTGTTTAAAAAAAATCTTATTTGACTGCTTGCATGAGTTACTTGATGTGGAATAGAGTTCCATGTAGCCATGGCTCTATGTATACAGAACAAAAATATAAATGCAACACGCAACAATTTCGAAGATTTGACTGAGTTACAGTTTATATAAGGAAATCAGTCAATTGAAATAAATTAATCAGGTCCTAATCTATGAATTTCACGACTGGGCAGGGGCACAGCCATGGAGCCAGGCCCAGCCAATCAGAATGAGTTTTTCCCCACAAAAGGGCTTCATTACTTTGCAAATAGCTCTGATGGACATTCCTGCAGTCAGCATGCCAATTGCACGCTCCCTCAAAACTTGAGACATCTGTGGCATTGTGTTGCGTGACAAAACGGCACATTTTAGAGTGGCCTTTTATTGTCCCCAGCACAAAGTGAACCTGAGTAATGATCATGCTGTTTAATCAGCTTCTTGATATGCCACACCTGTCAGGTGGATCAATTATCTTGACAAAATATAAAATGCTCACTAACAGGGATGTAAACAACATTTGAGAGAAATACGCTTTTTTTGTGTATGGAACATTTCTGGGATCTTTTATTTCAGCTCATGAAACATAGGAACAGCACTTCCCATGTTGCGTTGATATTTCTGTTCAGTATATTACTGAACGCCTCCCATAGTCTGTTCTGGACTTGGGGACTATAAAGAGACCTCTGGTGGCATGTCTTGTGGGGTATGCATGGGTTTCCGAGCAGTGTGCTAGTAGTTTAAACAGACAGCTCGGTGCATTCAACATGTCAATACTTCTTACAAAAACAAGTAGTGATTAAGTCAATCTCTCCTCTACTTTGAGCCATGAGAGATTGACATGCATATTATTAATGTTAGCTCGACGTGTACCATTTAAGGGCCAGCCGTGCTGCCCTGTTCTGGGCCAGTTGTAATTTTCCCAAGTCCCTCTTCGTGGCACCTGACCACACAACTGGACAGTAGTCCAGGTGCGACAAAACTAGGGCCTGTAGGACCTGCCTTGTTGATATTGTTGTTAAGAAGGCAGAGCAGCGCTTTATTATGCTCAATTTCCACATTATTCGTTATAAGATTTAGTTCAGGTTTAGGGTTTAATGAATGATTTCTCCTAAATACAATGCTTTTAGTTTATGAAATATTTAGGACTAACTTATTTCTTGCCACCAACTCTGAAACTGACTGCAGCTCTTTTCTAAGTGTTGCAGTGATTTCACTCACTGTAGTAATGTTGAGTCATAGAAATACCGTCTTTACTCAGAGCCAGTGGCAGGTCATTAGTAAATATTGACAAAATTATCGGGCCTAGACAGCTGCCCTGGGGAATGCCTGATTCTACCTGGATTATGTTGGTGAGGCTTCTATTAAAGAACACACTATGTGTTCTGTCAGACAGGTAACTCTTTATCCACAATATAGCAGGGGTGTAAAGCCATAACATATATATGTTTTTCCAGCAGTATACTATGATTGATAATGTCAAAAGCCGCACTGAAGTCTAACAAAACAGCTACCACAATTCAATTTCTCTCAGCCAATCATCAGTCATTTGTGTAAGTGCTACACCCGCAATAAACATCTGCTAAATATCTGTATGTGAGCAATAACATTTGATTAGACTTCAATTTGATTTGAAGTGCATATTGAATGCCCTTCCACTATAAGCGTGCTGAAAGTCTGTTGTTATTTTATTTACTGTAAAATAGCATTGTATTTACTTTTTTCCCAAAGGTTTACTAAGGGTTGGTAACAGGCTGATTGGTCGGCTATTTGAGCAAGTAAAGGGTGCTTTACTATTCTTGGGTAGCGAAATGACTTTTGCTTCCCTCCAGGCCTGAGGGCACACACTTTTTCGTAAGCTGAAGAGATGGCAAATAGGAGTGGCAGTATCGTCCGCTATCATCCTCAGTGATTTTCCATCCAAGTTGTCAGACTCAGGGGGCTTGTCATTGTTGATAGACAACAAAACTTTTTTCACCTCTTCCACACTCACTTTACGGAATTCAAAATTACAATGCTGATCAGTTGTACTTGGATGTGTAGGTTCAGCGTTTGTTGCTGGCATGTCATGCCTAAGTTTGCTAATCTTGCCAATGAAAAAAATCTTTAAAGTAGTTGGCAATATCAGTGGGTTTTGTAATGAATGAGCCACCTGATTCAATGAATGATGGAGCCCAAAGAATTAAGGTGCTCCAAAGCTTTTTACTATCATTCTTTATATAATGTATCTTTGTTTCATAGTATAGTTTCTTCTTCTTTCTGTTCTGTTAAGTCACATGATTTATCAAAAGATTTACAGGAATGTGGCTCTGAATATAGACGGCAACACCGCCCCCATTGGCATTTCTGTCTTTTCGGTAGATGTTATAACAATGTATTGCTACCACTGTATCATCAAAGGTATTATCTAAGTGAGTTTCAGAGATAGTCAGAATATGAATGTCATCTGTTACTAGCAAGTTATCGGCTACATATGTTAATGTGGGCTATTTTTAGCACTTTTCTGTAATGCTTGATTGTTTTATTGCTTTACTGGGAAGCTTATCAGAAGTAGACATGACAATATTATTTATGTTTGAGCTGACAGTGCAGGGTGAGCTGCACCCAGTGGACTTCCTACTAGGCCACACCACCTCAGTGCTAACAGTATAATAATAATATGCCATTTAGCAGACGCTTTTATCCAAAGCGACTTACAGTCATGTGCGCATACATTTTTACGTATGGGTGGTCCCGGGGATCGAACCGACTACCCTGGCGTTACAAGCGCCATGCTCTACCAATTGAGCTACAGAGGACCACATACCACGGCTTGGGTCATTGATAAGTGTCTCAACGGAGCCTTGAAATGCGTGGGTAGAGTCCAGGAGCCAAGATGATTTGGATGTTTCCAGAAGGTGTCAAAGTTATCTATAAAAGTTATTCCAACAGAGCTACAGTAATCTTTTAGCCAGGTGTGTAATGCCGGTAGCCTGCTGAATCTTTCACACCCACGGCCCAACGATGGTACCGTACCTGAAATAATTGGCCGCTTTTTTGAATCTTTCAGAGCTAGAATCAGTTATTTAAAATACATTTTCAGCAGTTCCGAGTTAGCCCTCCTAATGGCGTTTGACCCCACATGGACTACGACAGTGTTAGCTCCCGGCAGCTGTCGTAGAACGGTCAGAAGCAGACTTGGGCGCGTCTGCAACTTAACTTGAGTCATGATCAAGGGCTAGTACAGTTCAGGGCAAAAAAAACAATTCACCAATAATATTACAGAAGGATCTTAATTTGATCACTCTTTTGGTTGCTGAGAATTTTTCTGCAATGCAGGAAATGCAAGCTTGTAGTGTATTCAAGATTTAAAAAGGCTTCTAAAGTTTGTAATTTCCACTTTTAAAAATGTCAGACTTGATTTTCCCTAATATTTTTTTTTATCAACCCTACAAAAAATGTCCATTAATGAATAATAATTCACATTTCCTGTCGCTGCAGGATTATTTTCTTGCTGTATCAAACTGGTTAAATTAAGATCCTACATCTGTAATCTGTAGTAGCCTCTGTGCTAGAGCTGAGACGACAGGCAAGCAGAAGGAAACAGAGAAGGAGTACGAACTTGGAGACTTTTGATCTCTATTTCTCTGTAAAAAGTCCATGTTGCCAACATCTCCTCAACAAATAAATGCGGTATTCAGGGTTGGGGTCAATTCCATTTAAATTCCGGTCAATTCAGATAGCACACTGAGAGAGAGAGAGAGAGAGAGAGAGAGAGAGAGAGAGATAGATAGAGAGAGAGAGAGAGAGAGATGAGGACCTGAGGACCTGAGATTTGGATGAAAAGGTCACCAGTGTCAGGGAGGCAAGGATGAAGAACTATGAATGAGGAAGTCTGTAGCTCAGTTGGTAGAGCAGTGGGTTCGTTTCCCATGGGGGGCCAGTATGAAAATGTATGCACTCACTAACTGTAAGTCGCTCTGGATAAGAGCGTCTGCTAAATGACTAAAATGTACAAATGTAAAATGAAGTGAGAAAGAGATGCGGCCCAATTTACAGTAGATTAACTGGAATATTTACTTCCGGTGTACTGGATGGAATGTAATAGTGATATAACTCTTCATTGCATGTTCACATAACCATGAAATTGGATGTTTGTTTGTGTATTGATGTTTAGATGACATTTTTGTTCAAATGTTCCTTGACTAACATCATCGTATTTTCCAAATTTAGTTTTAAAAGGTTAAAATTAATTGCCATATGTTAATAGTTATATGCTTTTTGTGAGACAGTCAGAGATGTAACACAAATAGCTATCAGCCAGTCTCCACAAAGCAAATCATCAGTCAATGGAAAAATGTCAAGTGCATTTGATGAATAATTTGTCAATTAAACAGTCAGTTAAATAGATAGCCTATCAGTCAAGGTATAACAGACTAACATTTTATTTGATTACTTTATATTGTTTGATTACAAACATATTTTCTCTGTGTTAAATACATTTATGTTAATGTTAAAAGATTCTGTTTTTACAGGGGGGCTTTTATTTTGAAACGTAGACGGTGAAATCTATGCACATGTCACATCACGTGACCATGTTACAGGAAGCACTGATAGTTCACTGGAAAATGTTAGACTAGCTAGCTAATATTTGAGTGTTAAGAGCATTTTAACTGCTTTGCAGCCTGTAAAGAGAGTAATGTTTACAAACTGTTCCCTCGGACATTATCATATTATCATTGCTGTGGTTATTTGGTCCATTTGTGTAGACTCGCGAAAAATCAGAGGAATTTCTTTATCGTGTAAGTCTTTCCCGAAGTAAACAAATGTTATGCTGTTGCAAGATTAGCTAACTAGCCAGGGGTACTGGATTAGCTAGTAAACAAAGAAGCCTCTTAGCATACCTTTACCATACTGGCATGTTTTACCAAACTAGGCCTACTGAACGAATTGAAGTAGCTTACGTTAGCTATCTAATTCGTTTTACAATATTAAAACATTTCAATTATCATTTGTTTTGTGAAAGTGTTGTGACTGTCAACAATATGCACCTGTCATTGATTCACACATTCAGCCTGGCAATAGGCTAACATGTAGAATGCTTTTAGAATAGAGTAGAATACATCTTTATATTTTTACTTGCATGGACATTGTGTCAGCCCTGGGATTTGAACCGGCAACCCCCTCGTTATGTGGCCCATCTCTCTAACCTACCGCCGACCCCAGAATGAGCTGTAAAGTCAATACCATATGAGACTGTAATCAAATGATGATTGAGACAGTGTGGAATGAAAGAGGGAGATCTGATTAACATAAAGTGGCAGAAAGGGTAGCCATTTTGATTCCCCGCCATTGGGGAGACATGGGTAGGCAGATGTGTTAACCGCTAGACAAACCAACTTTATAAGTCAAGAATGTCAACACAACACACACATGATGTTTGCTTAGATTTTTTTCCCTCTCTCTCTCCATTTTAACAGATAAGAGGTTTTACAGAGAAAGAAAGTCCTTCCTGTGTATTGATGGGTCCAAAATGATCCCTTTTGACCAGGTGAATGACGACTACTGCGACTGTGCGGATGGGTCAGATGAACCAGGTAAAGAGGCTCGAGGTACAGGTTGCCCCTAACCACAAATATACTATTAGGGCCAGTATTCAAAAAAAAGTGCTGATCTAGGATCAAGTCCCCTCTTTCCATGTCATCTTAATCCATTATGACCGTAAAAAGCCTAAACTGATCCTAGATCAGTACATTGCGACGAGGATGAGTTGAATAACTTCTGCACACCTGAAGTTACGTTTCAGATCACAGGTACAGTTATATAGATGAAGCTAAAAACTAAAGTGAACTGGTAGAATGACTCAGTCACATAGACCATCTTCAAGACGTTCTGTAGGCATGCAGCCAAACAGCTGTGTTGTAGCACATGTAAGGTAAGGGGGGGTGATTGACTGCTGGCTGGTTATAAAATGTAATCAAATTTCAGCTCGCCTTTAAGTTTGGTATAATCAATGACTTCCAGATATTTCGATGGGTTGACTTTGTAACTGTAATTGAAGTCCTTGTTTTTAGAGGTGGTAAGTTACCCATGGTAAGTGGGTGGTAAAACCATTATTTACCTGGCTGGTATAGTGATAAAGAATGGTCTACCTGTCTCTATGATCAGGTTTACTTGAGCAGGGAGCACAGAGAGTGTACAGAGACAAGCAATGTCACTGGTCTGACAGTGCAAAGACAACAGCTCTACTGATGCTTGACTATCAATGCAAAGATCTTCACACCCCTGGTTTTGATTTAGTTTATATTCATGGAATATACACACTTGCTGAGATTTCAAGTTCTCAAGAGTTCCTTTGAACTCAAGGATCTATGTTGCAAGTGAAAACAAAATCAAGGGTGTCAAACTCATTTTGCCCCAGGGGCCACATTCGATCATTGCTACACAACCATTTTCAGGTCTTGCCATAGATGTTCAAGCAAATTTAAGTCAAAACTGTAACTCTGCCACTCAGGATCATTCACTGTCTTCTTGGTAAGCAACTCCAGTGTATATTTGGCCATGTGTTTTAGGTTATTGTCCTGCTGAAAGGTGAATTCATCTCCCAGTCTCTGGTGGAAAGCAGACTGAACCAGGTTTTCCTCTAGGATTTTGCCTGTGGTTAGCTCCATTACGTTTATTTTTTATCCTGAAAAACTCCCCAGTCCTTAATGACTACAAGCATACCCATAACATGGTGCAGCCAACACTATGCTTGAAAATATGGAGAGTGGTACTCAGTAATGTGTTGTATTGGATTTGCTTAGCCAATTATTTTGCAGTATTATTTTAGTGCCTTTGTTGCAAACAGGATGCATGCTTTGGAATATTTTTTATTCTGGTCAGGCTTCCTTCTTTTCACTCTGTCAATTAGGTTAGTATTGTGGAGCAACTACAATGTTGTTGATCCATCCTCACTTTTCTCCTATCACAGCCATTAAACTCTGTAACTGTTTTAAAGTCACCATTGGGCTCATGGTGAAATCCCTGAGCGGTTTCCTTCCTCTCCGGCAACTGAGTTAGGAAGGACGCCTGTATCTTTGTAGTGACTGGGTGTATTGATACACCATCCAAAGTGTAATTAATAACTTCACGATGATCAAAGGGATATTCAATGACTGCTTTTTACATTTTTACCCATCTACCAATAGGTGCCCTTCTTTGTGAGGCATTGGAAAACCTCCCTGGCCTTTGTGGTTGAATCTGTGTTTGAAATTCACTGCTCGACTGATGGGCCTTACAGATAATTGTATGTGTCGGGTACAGAGATGAGGTAGTCATTCAAAAATAATGTTAAACAAAGAGTGAGTGCAACTTATGTGACTTGTTAAGCACATTTTTTACTCCTAAACGTATTTAGGCTTGCTATAACAAAGGGGTTGAATACTTATTGACTCAAGACATTTCAGCTTTTCATTTTTTTCCATATTTTTTTGTTGAAAAAACAAAATTCCAGTTTTATATTATGGGGTATTGTGTGTAGGCCAGTGACCAGAAATATCAATTTAATCCATTTTAAATTCAGACTGTAACACAACAAAATGTGGAAAAAGTCAAGTGGTGTGAATACTTTCTGAAGGCACTGTATTTCAGAGATTATTAACGAGCCTGACACAGTCAAGAAACTGTATGAATGTATGTTCATTATCATTTCTACACAGTTTCCATTTTAGTATGAGTCATTTTTAAAGAATGAGTGAGTTTGTTCCCCCTCCCCCATTTTTGTCTCCTTTATTTATTATCTCAAACCGTCCGCGGGCCAGATTGGACCCGGGCCGTATGTTTGACACCCCTGTACTAAATGAATCTGCTGGCACAATGAAGGAATATAATGTTAGACTGGGTGATGAGGAATAGAGTGAGCGGTAGAGCGAATACAACTAGACCCTCTTGTTCAAATATTATAGCAACCTTAGTTCAATACCTAGCGACCTAATCAAGAGATTCAAATATTATAGCAACCTTAGTTCAATACCTAGCGACCTAATCAAGAGATTCAAATATTATAGCAACCTTAGTTCAATACCTAGCGACCTAATCAAGAGATTCAAATATTATAGCAACCTTAGTTCAATACCTAGCGACCTAATCAAGAGATTCAAATATTATAGCAACCTTAGTTCAATACCTAGCGACCTAATCAAGAGATTCAAATATTATAGCAACCTTAGTTCAATACCTAGCGACCTAATCAAGTGATTCAAATATTATAGCAACCTTAGTTCAATACCTAGCGACCTAATCAAGAGATTCAAATATTATAGCAACCTTAGTTCAATACCTAGCGACCTAATCAAGAGATTCAAATATTATAGCAACCTTAGTTCAATACCTAGCGACCTAATCAAGAGATTCAAATATTATAGCAACCTTAGTTCAATACCTAGTGACCTAATCAAGAGATTCCTGGGGAGGCTAAGAGGCAAGGTTCCGCCATAATCCGAGAGGAAGTTGTCTATCGCTTCAATGGAACTATAGGACATTATTTCTGCTATAGCCAAATTGGGCAATTGGGCAAACTTTTCACTTCTTCAGATTTAATGTAATTTTTTTAGAAAACATTTAAACATAAAATTACATCTTTAGGTTTGGAAGTTTGTTGTTAATGGTGAAAATGATGATCAGATTCAGTACGACCCATCTAACCATCTGCCCCTGAAAATTTGGTCTGGTCCCAGAAATTAAACATCCGTGTGATTATTGGCAGGACACTGCCACCCTAAGAGCGATTGTGGAATTGCATGTATTTCCCTTCACAACCCATTCAAGGTTCAAGATTTCATGTCACGTGCACAAGTACAGTGAAATGCCTTTCTTGCAAGCTTCATATGAATTATAAAATCAGATAAACTGGTTCAACATGAATTATTATTCCATTGAAAATCTGCTTCCAATGATTACCTTAGTAATGAAAGGCAGTCATCACAGACTTATCTTTGAACTTTGCACTTTGCCCTCTTTAGGCACTGCAGCCTGTCCTAATGGCCGATTTTACTGCACCAACCTTGGCTACCGCCCTCACTACATACCATCTTCACGTGTCAATGATGGCATCTGCGGTAAGGTTTTCCCTATTGTGCATGGCTAGCAAACTGTAGTGTACTGTACTGCATTGTACTCTAATATACTGCAATGTACTGTAATGTACTGCACTGTACTGCACTGTACTCTAATATACTGCAATGTACTGCAATGTACTGCACTGTACTGTACGGTACTGTAATTTACTGCAATGTACTGTACTGTACTGTACTGTACTGTACTGTACTGCACTGCACTGCACTGCACTGTAATTTACTGCAATGTACTGCACTGTAATGTACTGTACTGTACTGCACTGCACTGTACTGTACTGTACTGCAATTTACTGCAATGTACTGCACTGTACTGTAATGTACTGTACTGTAATGTACTGCAGTGTACTGCGCTGTACTGTAATGTACTGTACTACACCGTACTGCACTGTACTCTAATGTACTGCACTGTAATGTACTGCACTGTACTGTACTGTAATGTACTACACTGTACTGCACTGTACTCTAATGTACTGCACTGTAATGTACTGCACTGCACTGTACTGTACTGTACTGTACTGCAATGTACTGCAATGTACTGCACTGTACTGTACTACACTGTACTGCACTGTACTGTAATGTACTGCACTGTAATGTACTGCACTGTAATGTACTGTACTATCCTGGACTATATGCATGTTGAACACATTAGTTACAGCGTTACTACCTCTACTTTATTAAGCCAGTCATGCTCTTGTGTAGATGTTGATTAGGTAGTTCAAAGACCAGGGCTAAGTTATTAACAATCATCCTTTGATCCTTCACATTGATGCTACGGCCTGCATTCATATTGCTATCCATTATGATTCCCACACTGTTGTTAAACTAGACTACAGACGTCAGCTGTGACTACAGTGGGAGTGAGCTCCACTCCAGTAGGAAGAACACTGTCTCAGAGATGTCCCACTGGTTGGCTCTTCTCTTTGAGAACACATTTTGAATGCTGTCAAAGATTGACAGCTTGGAAGTTGTTATACCCGCTGCCAGTCCCTTTAGTCGAGGAAACAAACTGAGAGATGGAGAGGCAAAACAGTCAACAAGACTCCCCCCCGCCCCCCCTCACCCCCCCCTCTCTCCTCCTATGAACAACATTCTGTCTTCATCCTCTCTCCTCCTATGAACAACATTCTGTCTTCATCATCTCTCTCCTCCTATGAACAACATTCTGTCTTCATCATCTCTCTCCTCCTATGAACAACATTCTGTCTTCATCATCTCTCCTCCTATGAACAACATTCTGTCTTCATCATCTCTCTCCTCCTATGAACAACATTCTGTCTTCATCCTCTCTCTCCTCCTATGAACAACATTCTGTCTTCATCATCTCTCTCCTCCTATGAACAACATTCTGTCTTCATCATCTCTCTCCTCCTATGAACAACATTCTGTCTTCATCATCTCTCTCCTCCTATGAACAACATTCTGTCTTCATCATCTCTCTCCTCCTATGAACAACATTCTGTCTTCATCCTCTCTCCTCCTATGAACAACATTCTGTCTTCATCCTCTCTCCTCCTATGAACAACATTCTGTCTTCATCCTCATGTTATCCTCTATGAACACATTTTGTCCTCTCTTCTCTCATAGACACTGCTGTCTCATCGCTCTCTCATAAAAACATTGTTGCATATCCTCTCCCTTAACAACATCTGCTCATCATCCTCTCTCCTATGACAAATTTGTCTCATCATGCTTTCCCCTATGAAAAAACATCTGTGTTCAGTTCTACTCTGCATGAACAACATTCGTCTTCATCCTCCCCCTTATGGAACAACATTGTTTCTATCCTCCCTCTATGAACAACATTGTCTTCATCCTCTCTACTCCTCATCATGAACAACTATTGCTTCATCCTCACCTCATAAACAACATCGTCTTCATCTTCTCCTCCATGAACAAATTCTGTCGTATCCTCCTCCTCTATGAACAACCATCTCTTCTCGCTCTCTCCTATAACAACATCTGTCTCATCCTCTCTCTCTCTATGAACAACATTCTGTCTTCATCATCTCTCTCCTCCTATGAACAACATTCTGTCTTCATCCTCTCTCTCCTCCTATGAACAACATTCTGTCTTCATCTCCTCATGGTGTAAATCCTTTAATTAGACAGTTTTTGTCCCTCTTTTCTCTGAGCGCTGCATGCTTTCAAAAAATGGAACGCTTCCCGTTATCGCCACCCCCTCCCTGTCCCAGGCTTTCCTGGCTGCTTGTGACGGCAGGCGGTGGAGAAAGAGAGAGGAGCTAAAGTAGGGGTTAGTGTCTGACTCTGGCAGCGCTGTACCTTCTCATCCTCCCACCTTGAGTGGAGCCACTTAGAGTTGGGGGGATTTGTCCTCTCGGCTCAGTGAGAGTTCTGACGCTCTAACTACTTCTCAATCAACGGGGGACCAGCGTAATTGAGGAATTTCCCACTGTGAGCACTCTCGTGGCCTTGGTCGCTCCCTGGCAAGTCTCGGATTGAAACCAGACCTAGCTATGTAGTAGTTATTTTGTCAGGTGCTGAACATAGCTGTAGGCATCGGAGCTTCATCTCCATTTGGGAATTAGCAGATTGGGATTTTAAATGGCTGCATTTCAATGAGCAATAAGAATGCACAGAGATGTGTCAGAGGTCAATGTGGCACTCTGGTCTTTGTTCTTGTGCACCTAATGGATTTGGCTTGTGTGTATTTCATGCCTTTTACTGTTCTTCCCTCCAGACTGCTGTGATGCTACAGATGAGTACAGGAGTCAAAAGCCTTGCCAAAACACATGCAGGTCAGTTGGACTGGGAGTCCATACTTCTAAAATCATACACCTTAGTCCAGGAGTGGACACCTTAGTCCAGGAGTGGACACCTTAGTCCAGGGGTGGACACCGTAGTCCAGGGGTGGACACCTTAGTCCAGGGGTGGACACCTTCATCCAGGGGTGGACACCGTAGTCCAGGGGTGGACACCTTAGTCCAGGGGTGGACACCTTCATCCAGGGGTGGACACCTTAGTCCAGGGGTGGACACCTTCATCCAGGGGTGGACACCTTAATCCAGGGGTGGACACTGTAGTCCAGGGGTGGACACCGTAGTCCAGGGGTGGACACCTTAGTCCAGGGGTGGACACCTTAGTCCAGGGGTGGACACCTTAGTCCAAGGTGTCCAGGGGTGGACACCTGCTTGTTTTCTTTACATCTGGCACTTATCTGATATCTCAGAGAACACACTCCTGGTTGCCCGGTTACCTGGTCTAGCCCTAAATCAGTTGCTGTGGTGGACCTGATCATTTGGAGCTGGAATTTGTTCCCACTGCATGCCATCCAACATCCCAATTTAACACCTGGTTGAAATTGATAAGATACGCATTTCAATAAGGATGTTTTGATATGAATAGCCTAATAAATATCCCTGTTGTCCTAACCGTTCTGTTGACATCAGAGCCTTTTGGACCTACATGACAGTGATGACCGGTGAACATTCTTATGCTGAATGTTAGCACCAGGGGGCGTGTTGTCACTGGGCTAGAAACTGAGTGCTACATTGACATAATATGATCCCTTTAGCAACCCTCCCTTAATGTGAATACATCATGGATAACAAGAGTTCAACGTAGGCAGATACAGAGTCACCACCTCATTTGTTTCTCATTTGCCATCTTATTTACCGTCGGAGTGCTTGTTTGGAACTAGAACTGATAATAACAACAGCAGCCTCTCAGTTAAATCGAGACGTTGTGGATATTTTCCTCGGGATAATTGGTTCTTTCCAAACGTCTAAACAACACCTCATCTTATAACAACGAAGGGCTCTTATTCCACTTAAGAAATGCCTGGAAGAAAAAATTCATCTTGAATATATACGATAGGTGTGCATACATTTTTCAGAAGAATATGATTTAGCTAGACTCTCTAATGCCTCCAAGTCAAAGCATAGCCACAACCTCAATTAGTAAAACACACCTAATTGCATTGATGTTCATTACCACTGCTAGCACTACATGGGCACACCTTTGGCAAACCCAAGCACCAATAAAGGATTAATTTAATTAACTGACTTCATCATTTTCCTATGCCATATGCCTCAAAACTACAAACAAACAAAAAATATTATACCTAATTTCGACCTCACAACCTCCTTCCCTCTACTATGTCTCAGGCAAAAGAGATATCTGCTCTTCCACAGAATACTCCTCTAGTTTATGTACCCAGATATTTTCCCATTTGGACTGGGTGAGGACACTGTGAGCCCTCCAGAATTGGCCCATGGCATCACTGTTAGAAGGGGGTGGGAGGTAGCCATGGAGACAGCGGGGGTTTTTCTCAGTAGTGATGGGGCGGCCGCGTTTCTTTTCTTCCAGGAATCTGGGACAGAGGGAGCGAGCAGCGGTGGAGGGCCAGATGAGGGCCCTGGGTGAGGGGCTGAGGCTCAAGCAGCAGCTGGTCGAGGAGGCCGTCCTCACCTGGCGGGAGAAACAGGTAGATAACAGTAGGAGTGTACACTGGCTCCTAGTCTGACTGTCACCCAGGGAAATCAGTGTCTTCCTACCCTTGCAACCATACCATGTGTTGCTATGGTTACTGTTTAAACTAGCATTTAAACGACACGGAACAGTTAGCTGACTATGACGACACGGAAGAGTTAGCTGACTATGACGACACGGTAACAGTTAGCTGACTATGACGACACGGAACAGTTAGCTGACTATGACGACACGGAACAGTTAGCTGACTATGACGACACGGAACAGTTAGCTGACTATGACGACACGGAACAGTTAGCTGACTATGACGACACGGAACAGTTAGCTGACTATGACGACACGGAACAGTTAGCTGACTATGACGACACGGAACAGTTAGCTGACTATGACGACACGGAACAGTTAGCTGACTATGACGACACGGAACAGTTAGCTGACTATGACGACACGGAACAGTTAGCTGACTATGACGACACGGAACAGTTAGCTGACTATGACGACACGGAACAGTAGCTGACTATGACGACACGGAACAGTTAGCTGACTATGACGAACACGGAACAGTTAGCTGACTATGACGACACGGAACAGTTAGCTGACTATGGACGACCACGGAACAGTTAGCTGACTATGACGACACGGAAGCAGTTAGCTGACTATGACGACACGGAACAGTTTAGCTGGACTATGACGACACGGAACAGTTAGCTGACTATTGACGACACGGAACAGTTAGCTGGACTATGACGACACGGAACAGTTAGCTGACTATGACGACACGGAACAGTTAGCTGACTATGACGACACGGAACAGTTAGCTGACTATGACGACACGGGAGCAGTTAGCTGACTATGACGACACGGACAGTTAGCTGACTATGACGACACGGAACAGTTAGCTGACTATGACGACCGGAACAGTTAGCTAACTATGAGAACGGAACAGTTAGCTGACTATGACGACACGGAGCAGTTAGCTAACTATGACGACACGGAACAGTTAGCTGACTATTACGACACGGAACAGTTAGCTGACTATGACGACAGGGAACAGTTAGCTGACTATGACGACAGGGAGCAGTTAGCTGACTATGACGACAGGGAACAGTTAGCTAACTATGACGACACGGAACAGTTAGCTGACTATGACGACACGGAACAGTTAGCTGACTATGACGACAGGGAGCAGTTAGCTGACTATGATGACACGGAACAGTTAGCTGACTATGACGAACGGAACAGTTAGCTGACTATGACGACACGGAACAGTTAGCTAACTATGACGACACGGAACAGTTAGCTAACTTGACGACACGGAACAGTTAGCTGACTATGACGACACGGAACAGTTAGCTGACTATGACGACACGGAACAGTTAGCTGACTATGACGACACGGAACAGTTAGCTGACTATGACGACACGGAACAGTTAGCTGACTATGACGACACGGAACAGTTAGCTGACTATGACGACACGGAACAGTTAGCTGACTATGACGACACGGAACATTAGCTGACTATGACGACACGGAACAGTTAGCTGACTATGACGACACGGAACAGTTAGCTAACTATGACGACACGGAACAGTTAGCTGACTATGACGACACGGAACAGTTAGCTGACTATGACGACACGGAACAGTTAGCTGACTATGACGACACGGAACAGTTAGCTGACTATGACGACACAGAACAGTTAGCTGACTATGACGACACGGAACAGTTAGCTGACTATGACGACACGGAACAGTTAGCTGACTATGACGACACGGAACAGTTAGCTGACTATGAGACACGGAACAGTTAGCTGACTATGACGACACGGAACAGTTAGCTGACTATGACGACACGGAACAGTTAGCTGACTATGACGACACGGAACAGTTAGCTGACTATGACGACACGGAACAGTTAGCTGACTATGACGACACGGAACAGTTAGCTGACTATGACGACACGGAACAGTTAGCTGACTATGACGACACGGAACAGTTAGCTGACTATGACGACACGGAACAGTTAGCTGACTATGACGACACGAACAGTTAGCTGACTCAGTCACACACACACGTCTGCACACACAGACACACTCTTCTGATCGCCAGTTGATAGGCTTCTTATACCCAGGGCACCTTTTGTTGGATATTTCGGGTCGATGTTCTGTTTCTGTGTGTAGGTGATTGACAGATCCAGGCTGAGTGCTTGTACAACCCCCTGCCCCCACTGCAGATCATGATCCTCTGTTCTGAATATGTCTCTGTTGATATGGCGGAGTGCTTTTGGGTCTAGTCCCAGGAACCTTACACAATGACCCAAAGGGAACCTATCCCGAGGGGCAAATGTTAGAAGAACACCAGACCTTTAGAGACATTACTGGAATAATATATCCTATTGTATTTTTGTTTTGTTTTACAAAAGGTTGAGGACTAGATTGAATGACAATACATGCAGTGAAAGAGAGTGCAGGACATTCCACTTTTTTATAAATCTGCCATCAAATAATATAGTTTTTTTGCCTTGTGTTGCTGATGGTAGCTAGTCATGGTAGCACTTAGGATAGTTGTTGAGGCTTTAAATTGATAATGTAGCCTGGAGGAACCTTTTTACCCGGACAGTGCTGTACATTGGAGCAGGTATGCTCTTGCTAACTCAAAATGGACTCCATAAATCACTGTGGCTGCTGAATGTGGATAAGGAAGTATCATGCCCCAGAAAGCTAGTCGTCCCTATCGTAACCACAGCTCTAGAATTCATCACTGCATTATGAGAAACTCTCAGAGAGGAGATTGGAAGGTAACACACATACACACACACACACACACACACACAACACACACACACACACACACACACACACACACACACACACACACACACGTTTTGTTCATTAATTGGACTATTACAGAGAGTGATGATAGTCTATGCTTCTCTGTCATTCAGTGTCATTTTGGTGCCACGGCAACACCGCCTGGCGCTGGTGATTTAAATAGTCCATTGTGTAGTCCCCTCTGTTTTTACAGCAGAGCTGCTGCTGTGAATACAGCAAGGGAGAAATAACTGAAAAGGAGGCTCAATACTTGAGATTTATCATTAAATCCATTCAGGCCCCACTCTCTAAATGAATGAGATACAATTGAAGGAGTTGTACATTTGCACCCACTCCATCACTTCCATGACTTCTATACAACACATTTTGCCCGCCACTTTCTCCTTTTTCATACGGCAAAACATGCACAGAAATGTATTCATGCTTGACCATTAAGCTTGCCCAAGATGTATGATATAACTTTTTATCTAGTAAAGTCGTTTTGTAATAAATGTGATGTGTTGTGATGCGTTGCAATGTTGTGTTAGGTTGCCATAGGCCTCAGTGTTGCATTGAGTTGAGGATTTCTTCCATTTTTTAAATAATTTTTTTCTCCTCAGGCCCAGCTTCGAGACCTGCAGCGGGTCTCTGATGACCTACAGACCCAGCTGGGTGATCTCAGGAAGGAGGAGGCAAGGAGGAAGGAGGAGGCAGACGCACTCAGAGAGCGGGAGATAGGGGCACGGGAAACGGCGGACGACAGTAAGTGTCATGGTAGCGACAGGGCTACACAGTCAGGGATTGTTAGGCCAGTGCTTGGGGGTCAAAGGGTTAGATGTAAGGTAATAGGATTAGTGATGGCGCAGAGTGTCGTGGTGAGGTCGGTGTTAGAGTAAGTCGGCAGCACGGGTAGGGTAACAGGGTTGTGCTCCATTCCATTTTTGATTCAGTTGACTTTGACGGAAGTGAATTGACCCCAACCCTGCAGGGCAGCATTTAGGGTGACATATTGGATGGTCACGGTTAGGGTGAGGTGCGTTAAAACCGATGCTTGCTGCATCATAGAATATACATGTATCGGAGTGCTGAGTAACAGCATATTTTCATACTGCATCCTTCCTGTACATCCATTGAACCTGGAGCGACAGGTTTTATTCTGAGTCATAGGGAAAATTCCCTAGCCGCAGTGTGAGTAGGGTTGCAAAGCTACCGGTAATTTACCGAAGTTACCGGAATCTTCAGTAATTTTGGTAGTTAACAGAAAATCTATGGCAATCTATCATAACTTTGGTAATTTATATATATATATTTTTTTATTCATATATAGTATTCATTTATATCTGTGTCCATATTGTCCACGAGTTTCTAGTAGATAGACCATGTGGTCCTCTGTAGCTCAGCTGGTAGAGCACGGCGCTTGAAACGCCAAGGTAGTGGGTTCGATCCCCGGGACCACCCATACACAAAAATGTATGCACGCATGACTGTAAGTCGCTTTGGATAAAAGCGTCTGCTAAATGGCATATTAATTTTTTTATTTTATTAATTAAATTAATTATTAATTATGGTTCAAGAGAAAATAGCAGAATTAATGAAAAAAGCATCTAATCAACAAAGCAAATTGTCCAACTATTGACTTTTTTCAAAACTGTTTTGATGGCAAAAGATTCACAACAATTGCATATTGACATAGTAAAATAAATAAAAAGATATATAAAGTATATTCCATACTGAAACCCTCATATTAAACACCAATAGTATTCACTAAGTTGATGGTTTGTATCTAGGATAATGTTTTACAGCTTTCTCATTCTATTATTTTTATTTTGTAATAATGTTATTTAATTATTTAATATATTTTACATTTGATAAAGGCCACAAAGAGGGACAAAGATAATTACCTGTAATAATCTGAAGTACCCAAAAGGGCCACTAGATGTCTTAAAATCCTGGAAAGATACCAGAATTCTGGTAGTTTACTGGTATAGTTTATAGTATTATACCCTCCCTTTGCAACCCTAAGTGTGCGTAAGCAGGACGTGCATTTAATACTGCTGTTCTGTGGCTGTGGCCAGTTGGGCTGGTTGGTTAAACTCATGGTTTACACTCCCTGTGCAAGGACTCCAAATCCATTACGTGGTGGGGGCAAAGCAAAGGTTTGGATATTTAAATTGGATCAAAATTGGGCCTCTATTTAGTTTGCATAATTAATCGCCTGTGATTCAGCGGCAAAGTGGGGACAGAGAGCGGCAGCCAAGAAATCCCCATTGAATTAGTCACTCACTTTATCAAACATTGCCATTATGTAACCCCCCCCCCCCCCCCCTCTCGTCCCTGTCACCCAATCTTAATGGAGACATAATTTAATAGGCCACCGTTTCAGGCAGCCTGTGTCTACTATTAGTAAGGCCTAACGGTTACTGTGGGACGGTGTTGAACCCACGTTCTTTCCCTCTTCTTCTTTTAATTTACAACTTTCCTCCGCGTCCTCAAGCTTCGAGATTGATTTGCTGTCGGGGGCCCATCTTGCCACCTCCGGTAAAAAGTTTTGGATCGGGGGGTGGTGGAAAGCTCACTTGACTTTGGCGTCGCCGTCGAGCCCCCCCCATCCATCAGCCTCCCATGGTGCCAGCTGACCTTTCCCGGGCACATTTGAATGACACGCGTGTGTGTGTGTGCGTGTGTGTGTGTGCGTGTGTGCGTG